AACGGATATTGAAAAAAAAAAAAAAAAAAAAAAAAGAGGAGTGATGCATATTCAGTACGAGAATTCTTATAAGATTTGAAAGAAACTACATATATGCTCCACCTATTGAAACCCAAACGCTAAGGTAAGTTAACCTTACGGAATAATGTACATCAAGCAATAAGAAAGGTCAAAGAGTGAGGAGGTTAAGGTAGAGAGAGAGAGACATACTTATCCAATGAACAAAGTGGGGCTCAGTGAAGTAACGGTAGATCCAGTTTAGGATGTACAAAGCCCTGTACCCACTGCAAGAAGAAGACAATCAAGATAAGTCAGTAATAACAGTTTTACAAAGAAAGCGAGGTTATGAGAAGAGATTGTTGTACCCAAGGAGAAATATGTATTGGCCGGTCAAGTTATCGATATTTCTAGTCCTTTGCAGCAAGACAAGCTGAGGTAATATAGCAACAGCTTCCAAGTACAAAGAAAAGGTCCACAGTAACTCAAGGAAGGTGAACTTTTCGTGGATGAGAAGAGCCAAGACAAGGCATGGAAGCAGGAGGAACCAATGGCGAAAGGTATCTTGCTCCCTGTCGTAAGTCCTGTGGACAGCCTTATGATACCTCATGTACCAGACAATGGAAAAGGAGCTTCCTAAGAAGACCAACTTCATCAAGGTGTTGTAGACAGAGACGAAGCTCGTGAAAATATCCAAATAACGCGTAGCAAACACAATGGCGTACAGTTCTTGCGTCCTTAATGACACACCTGGAATATCATTACACATTTGAAAAATTTGATCACTACAAAGCAACGTAACCTAACGAATAAAAACCATTCAATTCCATTGATGAAATTTCGAGATCATTGGATCCCTCTTGTGTTTTAAATTGAAACTGGCCGTTTGGATTTACGAAATCGAATCGAGTGAGAATCATATGGTCAACGTCAATTTCCAAGGGAAAGAATGGACATACCAGCGCAGGATTTGATGGTATGGATCTTGAGGAGCAAGACGAGAACACTGGCCAGGTGAGTCATATCACCTGCTAATCTGAAAATGTTCATCTTCTTCAATCTCTCTTCCTCTCCTCTCCTCTTCTAGGGTTTATTGAAGCGCACCTTCTTATCTTCGTCTCCTTCTCTACACCACACTACGGGTTCGTGCTATGCTAGATCTCGTTTGTTGGTGGCGTTTCCACAAACTTCTCCCGTGTTTTTTTGCTTTTTTCCTCTGGTGAAAGAAGCCCATCACTTCTCGTTGTGGGCTTTGTTTTGGGTAACGATATCTTATAAACCCAACCGGATGCTAAACCGGATTATATCCGTCTGTTACAAAACCGGTGTATTTACATCAACCGAACTTTATAACCTGCCTTGTAAATCTGCAAAACACGATTTCAAATCGAACAATTTTATCACTAACCAGTTTTACTTTTATTACGGGCATGGAAGGACAACTCTGAACAAATAACTACAGGGATACGAAAGATAAATAGACGGGAGTTGGTCATGCATGTTGGAGCAAGCTTGAAGATGATGAAACAAGCTTGAAGACTTAAGAAATCCTAATCTAACTATGTTTTGTGATAAAAGGAAAAGTTGTTGTATTAGGAGTTAACTAAAACAAAGAGATTTATCTAATGAAATTAGGAATATGTCTTAGCTATAAATATGGATCTATCGAGTATGATAAGTTTATAAGAGTTTGTAGAGCTTGAGGTATTTGAGTGAGTTTTCCTTAAGTTATAAAGAGAGTTATTCTTATTCTACAATCATTTATACAAGCAATCTGTTATTAGCTTCAATAAGTGGTATCAGACCATAATAATTGAAGCTATGACGGATCTTACGATTGCAACGACGAAGGTGAAAGAGATAGGGTCATCATCGATAAAGTGTCCCACGTTAAGTTCAACGAACTACACCGTGTAGGTAATTAAGATGAAAATTCTACCGAAGGTACACAAAGTTTGGGATATTATTGAAGGCGAACGAGAAGATGGCGAGAAGAACAACATGGCCATGGATTTGTTGGTTCAATCAATACTCGAATCTCATGTATTGCAAGTCGGTGAGTTAGATACTGCAAAGAAGGTGTGGGATGCAATTAAAACAAGACGTATGGGTGCTGATAGAGTCAAAGAAGCTCGTTTGCAAACGTTGTTAGCAAATTTCAACCGCTTGAGGATGAAAGACAACGAAGCCATTGATGAGTTTACTGGTAGGATCTCTAAAATCTCTTCAAAATCTGTGGAACTTGGAGAAGACATAGAGGAATCCAAACTAGTTAAGAAGTTTCTCAAGGGTCTCCCACGAAAAAAATACATACATATCGTGGCAACACTTGAACAAGTTTTGGATCTTAAAACAACTAGCTTTGAGGACATCATCGAACGTCTAAAAGATTACGAAGATCGTGACAATGAGGAGGAAGAAACAACAGAAGACTATAGTAAACTGATGTATGCGAAACAGCAATACACCCGTGGTTTTAATGGAGATTACAGAGGACGTGGTCGTGGAGGACAATACTATAATAGAGGAAGAGGCTGTGGTCGGTTTGGTGGTACAAGAGACGCAACAAATATCACATGTTATCGGTATGATAAAGTAGGACACAATGCCACATATTGTCAGGATCGTCTACTTAAGCTTCAAGAAGCCCATGAGACTAAAGAAGAATATACACAGAAGCCGACGTGTTGATGTTACACAAAGTGGTATTTCATAGTGAAGAAAAGGTGAAACCCAACATCTTTGCAACTAGTCTAGATAAAAAGCAACATCTGGTATCTAGACAATGGGGATAGCAATCACATGAAGGGTGACCGCTCATACTTCACTACACTAGATGAAAAAATCACTAGAAAGGTTAAGTTTGGTGATGATTCTTGCATAGAAATAAAAGGAAAGGGGTCTATCAGTTTTGTTCTTAAAGATGGCGTGAAGAAGAGCATGGCTAACATTTACTTCATACCCAATATCAGAAGCAATATCATAAGTTTGGGTCAGACTACAGAAGCTGGATATGAGGTCAGAATGAAGGAGGACGTCGTGACTGTGTGTGATCGTGATGGGAAGCTACTGGTTAAAACCAACATAAGAGAAAATCGGTTGTACAAAGTAGTACTTGATGCTGAGAGCACGACGTGTCTCTAGGCAAAGACGCCTAACGCTTCCTTCGAATGGCATGCAAGGCTAGGGAACATCGACTTTGACAACATAAAACTAATGGTCGAGAAGGATCTAGTTACAGGAATAACAAAGATTCAGGTCGAGAAGAAAACATGTGTTTCTTGTTTGCTTGGCAAGCAAGCAAGGAAACCTTTTTCTCAAGCATCAACTTTTCGAGCATCACAAAAGCTTTAGCTGCTACATGGGGATCTCTGTGGACCAATCACACCTCCAACGATTGGTAAAAACAAGTATGTTTTTGTGGTAATTGATGCTCTTGAAAGAGAAAAGTGAAGCTTTTAGAAAATTTAGAAGCTTAAGACATCAGTAGATCAAGAAACGGGTATCTTTATCAAGACCCTTTGAACTGACATGGAATGAGAATTTACATCTTTAGAGTTCAACACCTTTTTCAAAGAGAACGACATCAAGAGACATTTGACTGCACCATACTCTCCCCAACAAAATGGGGTAGTAGAGAGGCGTGATAGAACGATACTCGAGATGACAAGGAGTATTCTTAAGCACATGAGTGTTCCAAATTATATGTGGGGAGAAGCAGTAAGACACGCCACATATCTTATCGATCGATCTGCTACTAAAACCTTAGCGTCCAAGACTCCTTACAAATTTTTCAAGGGAAATAAACCGAATTTGTCTCATCTTCGTATATTTGGATGCATTGGATATGCAAGAGTAAATTCTCCTCATAAGAAAAATATGGATGATAGGTCACGGGCATTAGTACACCTGGGAACAGAAAAGGGATCCAACACTTACCGTTTATACGATCCAACTATCAAGAGGATGTGAGTCGAGATGTGATTTTTATCGAAGATAAAGGTTGGTGTTGGAACAGTCAAGAAAGAGATAATGATTCTAGCACCTTTAGTATCAATCTTGGAGAGTTCGGTAACAGAGGTATATGAGATATTGATTTGCAATGGGAAATAGAAGAGGATAAAGAAGTTAATGATGTCGTGGGAACGGATCAAGTAACCGAAGCAAGAGACAATAAACTTGAAGAAGAGCTTGTAGAAATCTCTGACGATGATGATGAACAACCACAGTTAAGAAGGTCAACGAGAGTAAAGACACAACCTCAATACTTGTCAGATTATATTCTTTAAGCGGAAGCAGAAAGTGAGTGGCTCTTATTGGCAATCAACGAAGAGCCATGGGATTTTGCAGAGGCAAAAGGTATGAAGGTATGGGTAGAGGCTTGTGAAGATGAGATACATTCGATTGAGAAGAATCAAACGTGGATGCTGGTTGACCTGCCTCCTGGAGCTAAACCCATAGGCTTAAAATGGGTGTTTAAAATCAAGCGTAATTCAGATGGAAGCGTGAATTAGTACAAAGCGAGATTGGTTGCTAAAGCACTATACAAAGACATGGGATAGTAACTAATGAAGTGTTTGCTCATGTTGCAAGGACTGAGACTATTAGGCTTATCATCGCCTTGGCTGCTTCAAACGGTTGGGAAGTACATCACCTTGATGTAAAAACGGCGTTTCTCCATGGTGATTCGAAAGAGGAGGTCTATGTTTCCCAACCTGAAGGTTTCATCATCAAAGGCAAAGAAGAAAAGGTATACAAGTTTTCTAAAGCTCTATATGGGTTAAGACAAGCACCTAGAGCTTGGAATGATAAGTTAAATCAGTGTGGGAACCGAAATTCGCACTGTCGATTTCCGTAAAATAAGGAAACTTAGGAAAACCCTAATTTTTCAGAGGTCCCGGATCTCTACGAGAGCCAACAACAAGTAACCAAATAAATGCAGAAATAATGAAAAAACATGATAAAATGAGTTTATAAAGAAAGTTGATCTTATTTCAAATTCGCGTAAGAGCGTTGCGATCTTTACAAGAGGTTACAAAGGCTTTGGCCGCAGGGGCCTTCAGCGATTTTCCTAGTTCTAGCAACATAAAACCCTAAACCTAGTTGAGTCGCAGCTCGATAACAAAAGACGAAAAATATAAGAAAAAAGGGTTTTGATTGATTTCGGACTGAACCTTATGTAAGGCTGCCTACGTACCCCTTTCGAGGATCAAGTCAAACGTAGTTCAATTGATAGAGTTGGAAAATAGATCAAACTGCATGGGCGAGTTCTTCTAGTAATTGAGGGCCAGTCATAGAAACCGAACTTGTCGAGAATAAGTTTTAAAGTGCAGAGAATTCTAAGTCTAGAAAAGTTGTTAAAGTCTCAGATGAGATCTCTTATAATCGTCCCCCTGCTTCTGTCCTCGACCTTCTACTTATATACTCCTTCTCTAGGCGGTTTAGTCTTTCCTTTCCCTCCCTGATTCGTGCTTATCGGAAATCTTCCATTTATCTCGATCTTTCCATTTTTCTGCGGAAAATTTCTATTTATCTTCAATCTTGACATTCCTGCGGATAACAGACAGACCTTCATTGCATCTTTGGGCTGGACCTTGTCCCAAGTCACGAGTGGGATTTTATCGCGTTTTAGGACCTTTCGAGCCGTTTTACGTATTAGCCGTTTTACGACTTAGACAAGATCGTTTCCTGACACAACGATGTTTTTCAGTAACCATCTCGAGTTAATCGTATAGTTTGACAATATTCAGTGTTTCGTTTAACCGTTGCCGTTTTACATGATTTACTCGAGGTTTTACTAAAAACGCGTGTTTAATTATGATTTTTTATAAAAGATCTCGAGTAAATCGTATAGTTTGGCAATGTTCGGTGTTTCGTTTAACCGTTGCCGCTTTCTACGACTTGAGGTTTTACTAAAAAAAACAGTCTTTTATAAAAGATCTCGAGTTAATCGTATAGTTTGGCAATGTTCGGTTTTTCGTTTAACCGTTGCCGTTTTATACGATTTACTCGAGGTATTACAAAAAAATACGTCTTTTACGGTTTTTATC